TCTTGAAAGCTCATTTCTTTTTCAGACGACAGTGTACTGTCAGCGACCATTAACTATCAGAAATACCCTGGGAAGCCATAATTACACAAAATTCCTTTGCAAACACAAACCCTAGGAGGAGAGAAGAACTAACAGTGATGTGTGCCTAACTGTGCGCTTCCCCAGAGATTATCTCCAACAGGATCTCAGACAGAGCTGTTCACCTCAGAGCCGAGTATCTCAAAAACCACCCTGCCACTGCCCAGCGGGACAACACCCATCTGCACTGCGAGGGAAGGAGGAGGGTCCGTGAGAAAGATGTGCGTACACCTACACATAATCGCAGGGAGAAAGGGGACGGGCTGTATGTCTGCTACTACAGCAAATGTTTTTCCCTGCCTTAAAGAAAAAGAAAAAAAGGAGGGTTGAGGAATATGCAAAAATAAGTCTTCACCTGCATATAAGGCACCTTCCTCTACCCTATCTTGGGGTACAGTTGGGGTTTGTATAACCCGAAGGCTCTTTTGTGCCAAAAGTTAAGACACGCTGGTGATTCCCATTTGGACTTCGGACAAAGGCCACGTCTAAGTCATCAAGGGCCCACGTGAGCACCAAGCCACACCCCAGGACTCAGACTCAGGTGTGACTTAGCTTAGACAAAGCCACACCTGACTCTAACTTACACAAGTGCATGAAAAATAATTACTCCTCTGCAAGCAGCTTTCAATAGTATAGTTTTTAAGGTATTGCTACAATATGCACTTTGCTAATTCATATCCTTTATGTGTCATTTTTAACAGTTCCCTCCCCAGAAAATTGTATCTACTTCCAATAAATTCGATCCCAATTATGTACTGCTTTTAAAATATTTTAATCTTCATTTTCATGTTAATTTACAAAAACAGTAACAGAAACAAAAAGATAGCTCCCGATTGATAGTTTAAAAATTCTAATAACTACTATGAAGCAAAGTCCATTGTGAAAAGAATTATAAAAGCTATTATATCTAACTCCAGTTGTTACATATTACCTTAGTTATCGCCCTTTGCTGTGTTTATAAAAGAATCTTTAAATAGCATGCTTTGTGAGGTTTGTGTTTGGTAATGCATTCTAAAAAGCTATCTACCCAATGACACTGTACATAGTCTATCCTATACTACCTGTACGTTTCCATAGTCTCTCTAAAGATCAGTCTTTCGTTGGTATGTTTTGATCATACAGCTATGAAGCCATATTACAACTCGAGCCACATCACGACACCCGCACAGACCTCTGTGCTAACAACCTGAGCGACAGTCACCCTTGGCTCTTCCCTCTTCCATTCCCACCACTCCCACAGTTCACCAAAACCTCCAGAATTAACCTCAGACAGATCTCAAACCAATCCTCTCAGCTCCAGGCCATCCCTTGTGCCACTGTGCCATGGGGCCTACCACCTCTTCCCAGTGCCACTCGGCAGCCTCGTCACCCTTCCCACCTCCAGCAGCAACTCCACGCATCAGACTGCGGAGCTCAAAACCCTTCAGCTTCCCCTGTCCAAGCACGCACACCCCTTCCACATCCAGTCCCCACTTCTAAACTTAAAATACATTAATAAGTAACTATTTGTAGCTGCAAACACACACAGCAAGCAATTTCTTACCTTGATGCCTTCGTTGAGCTCTGTCCTCTGTCTCCTCAACCCCTCGATTCCCAGGCCCATCTGCGCACAGCCCTCAAGATTCCACCGGACCTTTCCAGGCAGCCCAAGGCCGGGCTGGGCTCTCGCCCGGCTACCTCAAGCCAACCCACTGTCACGATCGGCTCTTTACCTAGGTCTCTCCGCCTGAATTCTAGAACTCCCTGAGCACAGAGATGAAGTCTTTCTTCTCCCTGTATCCCGCAACACCTGACATACAGCAGATACCCAATAAATACTGGTTGGTTGGATGGATGAATGACCAACAAAAAGTAAAAGTACCAACCTAAAATGTAGCATTTCTACTTAACAAAATTAATAACACTTAGTCTTGAACATGGCTGTTCTAGTGTGAAGGATTTCCGTCAAAAACCATCTATTGAACATCCACCACTCATTCCAGGCTGAGCTAAGCACTTTCATTGGCAAATACTGCACCATTTCTACCTTCTTTGAGGAAAAAAATGAAGTCCTCCAAATTGTAAAAGCTTAAGGACATATACATGGCTAAAAACATTTCAGTCTCAGGGACCTTTAACTAAGAGTCCCGAAACCCAGCTTAGACTGGTAACTTCACGTGTCCATTCTGAATATGGATAAATGGAAGGTCAACAGGTTTAAGAAGACAAACTCTAAGATCTATTTCATTAAAAAAATTCAATGGGCCGGGCATAGTGGCTCACGCCTGTAATCCTAGCACTCCGGGACGCCGAGGCGGGCGGATTGTTTGAGCTCAGGAGTTCGAAACCAGCCTGAGCAAGAGCGAGACCCCGTCTCTACTAAAAATAGAAAGAAATTAATTGGACAACTAAAAATATATAAAAAAATTAGCCGGGCATGGTGGCGCATGCCTGTAGTCCCAGCTACTCGGGAGGCTGAGGCAGGAAGATTGCTTGAGCCCAGGAATTTGAGGTTGCTGTGAGCTAGGCTGACACCACGGCACTCTAGCCCGGGCAACAGAGTGAGACTCTGTCTCAAAAAAAAAAATAAAATAAAATAAAAAAATTCTATGGCTGTAATTTGTTATTGTTTAGCACATAAAAATATTTGAAAAAACATAACAGTATAATAGAGAAGCTTTAACTATGCTGAAACCCTAAGAAATGAATGACTGAATGACAGATTTATAGCTACATTTAATAAATAAATTGTATCCATTATTTTCAAGCTCCACTTGTCATCCACTCTAATTATTATTGCCCTTTTGTTCTTACTAGTCCTGCGTTACCAAGCAGGTGTGGACACAGGCATTTCAGCCTGGCAAGCCGGCCTGGGGCCCACCAGCCGCTGTCCAGTTCTACAGGCAACTGCCGTGACTGCCTCGCCTGCCAGCCCGTGTCTGGTTTGGGTGACTTCTGGGAAAGGTTTCCTAGAAAGAAAGGGAGAAAGGAAGAGACCGTCTTCTTCCTTCCCCAAGATGTTGGGTCTACTCTTGCATTCAGGAGAGGAACCAACCTTAGGATGATATTTCTATTGAGCACAGCAGCAAAGACAGACAGGGAAGCAAGCTCCTGGTGAAATTCTCAAGCTGCAGGTCCAGTCATGCCTGGAGCCCAGCCAACTCTTTTACTATTTACACCAGTTTGAGCAGCGTTTTCTGTTACGTCCAGCCTGAAGTATCATAACTTATATTCTATATGCACAACATCCTATTTAATTTTCTTCACATCAGTTATATCAAAAATTATCTTTTCTTTATGTTGTTAATGACGGCCTAATCTTGCCTCTTCTGCACAACTAGAATCTTGAGAACACGAAGCCCTGTCTGTTTTGTTCACCTCTACGGTCCCCAAAGCCTGGGTCAATGCCTGGCACAAAGAAGATGCTCAACAAATACTCTTGAGAGAGTGAGTCTTAGCCAAGCACCACTACGCACACAACTTTTAAACAATCTCACTTCTTGAGTGGGGGAGGTGAGAGTAAGAAAAAAAATCTCACTTCTTAATCAAATAATAATCTATCTTTTCCTATTCTAATTAACTGAATCACGTTCAATATGACAAAAGAAATCATCAAAAAGCACACAAAAAAGGCTAAAAATAAAAATTCAGTACTTCCCATTAGATTTCAGAAATGTTAGCCTGTGGCACCAAATAAACCTCAAATGTCTTTGTTGAACAAACAGCTTGTTAAATGCCACGTTTGTAACAAACAATCTGAAAACACAAGAACCATCTTACGCGTTCTTTACCAGATAACACAACCCGGCCTCGCCCTAACCGGGCCCACACTCCACAGAGCGAAGCCTGTGACCACATCATAGAATCGCTTTCCCCTCCCTTCCCTGCTCAAGCACCCGAACCACCATGAGTGACAGAATTCTGTTTTAGGTGATACTATCTGAATGAAAACCCCACCTACAGTTCAGGGGAGATTAAAAACAGGAGCCAACAAAGAATATCTGCACATTCTCCACTTCCAAACAGGTCAGTCACGGGAAACAAAAGAAGAGTAGGGCAACGCCCTGTCACTGAGCAAGAGAACCTGAACACGCAAGGCGCTTCACAGACGAAACCAGCCGGTGGTCTACTTGTTGGCTTTACTGTGATTTTTACAAAAAAGCTTAACCGGGGCTTCGGACCTCGAAAAACAAATTAAAAAAGTAACGGGCTCCCACTCTGGCAAATATTCAGAGCAATACACACACGCTAAGCTGTCGAGACCAAATCTCTGCCAACCTGCTGACTACACAGGGGATTCAAAGATTGCCAGAAAGGTAAATAGTGTTTATTCCCGAAGAATCATAAAAGTTCAGCCTAAATAATAAACACGAGAGGATGTGCAACATCATTAGTCATCAGGTAAATGCAAATTAAAACTACAAAGAGATGCCATTTCACACCCACCAGAATGGCTAGAATTAAAAAAAAAAAAAAAAAAAAAGGCAGACGGTGACGTGTGCTGGCGTGGAGGTAGAGAAACAGGAGCCTTCACACATTACCGGTAGGAATGTAAAACTGTGCAGTCGCTTTGGAAAACAGCTTAGGAGTTTTTTAAAAAGTTAAATATAAACTTACCATGTGACCCAGCAATTGTACTCCCAAGAGAAATGAAAATATATGTCTTACACGAAGAACTGCACATGAATGTTCATGGCAGCAATATAAATAACAGCCAAGGACTGAAACAACACAACCATCCATCGACGGTGAATGGATAAACTAAGGCACGTCCACACGGTGGGATACTATTCAGTAATAAAAAGGAACAAACTTTGCCTTGAAACAGACAGTGACATGGAGGAACCTCAGAAACAGTACATGGGAATAAAAATGTTCTAAAACTGATTTACGGCGACGGCAGTACCACTCAGTAAACTCAGTAAAATTACTGAATTGTAGACTTGAAATGGGTAACTTTTACGACATGTAAAATATGCCTCCACAAAGTTGTAAAAAACACAACCTAGGTACTCAATTCACACTTCACATGTGCCAGAAATTAACACACTATCCCTACTTTGCATCTGCCTCACCACACGGCAATCGAAAACCTTACTGGGTACGGAAAGTGCGTTCTCGGGCAGAAACCTGCGCACTGCCAGCAGCGCCCACCCCGGCTGACTGAGACGCACCCGGAACACTCAGACCCAGAAGGTCTTCAGGACCTCACTCCCCCGCTAGGCAAAGCTCACGTAGTTACAAACCGCATGTCAGCTCAGACGTGAAGAATAAGGAACCAACAGACAAAAAGAGAGGGAAACTGAACTGCAGTTTCGATTATAAAGCAAACAGAAAAGCAAGCTAGAGACGTAAGACATCCTCCTGTCCCCATCTAGCACCCATTCTCTGGATGACTAAGGCTACAGGAGTTTGGGGGACTCTGAGTTTCCAAAGCCTTTGTTTCTTTTTTGGGTCTTGCTCTGTCACCCTGGGTAGAGTGCGGTGGCGTCATCATAGCTCACTGCAGCCTCCAACTCCTGGACTCAAGCAATCCTCCTGCCTCAGCCACCTGAGTAGCTGAGACTACAGGCCTACGCCACAAAACCCGGCTAATTTTTCTAATTTTTTAGAGATGGGGTCTTGCTCCTGCTCAGGCTGGTCTTGAAATCCTGAGCTCAGGCAATCCTCCCACCTCAGCCTCCCAGAGTGCTAGGATTACAGGCGTGAGCCACCATGCCCGGCCAACCTCCAAAGCTATTTGAGGGAAAAGGAAACTAACCTTGATCTTATAGGTCTAAGTTAAGTACTATATTTTTGTTACTCTGTAGAAAACAAAACATTTATAAAAAACAACAGCAGCAAAAAACGCTGCCAGGTCCAGTGGCTCACGCCTGCAAGTCCAGCACTTTGGGAGGCCAAGGCAGGAGGATCACTTGAGGCCAGGAGCTGGAGACCTGCCCGGGCAACACAGCAACATCCTGCTTCTACAAAAAAATGTAAAACTTAGCCAGGCGTGGTGTTGTGCACCTGTAGTCCCAGGTACTCGGGAGGCTCAGGTGGGAGGGTCGCTCGAGCCCAGGTGTTGGTGGTTACAGTGAGCTATGATCGCACCACTGCACTCCAGCCCAAGTGACAGAGCAAGTCTCTGTCTCTAAAAAAAGAAATTCATGTGTATGATCTCATTTAATCTCTGCAAAAATCTAGGAAGTGGGGTAACATTATCATCCCCATATTCCCCATGGGGAAACCGAGGCACAGATGGACTGAGCAAGTTTCCCAAAGGCCCTGGCAATCGCGCTGTGACCAGAGGAGGGCCACCCAGAGGACAGCACTGCACAAAGGAATCCCTGGATTAGGCCAGCACCTTCCAGACTGAATCCTTTTCTTACAAGCCTGGAGACTCTCTAGAAAAGTGTCCAGGGGAAATGAGCAAGACGTAAACTGAGAGACTGAAGCAAACCCCAAGACGTGAAGTCCTGACTGGCCCCGCCTGGCTCACAGCCACCCGCCAGTCCTCCTCCAGCCCTGACTACCTAACTCGCTCAGGCACACCGCGACTGCAAACGGCCAGAAAGCGAGGGAATCCGGTGACCCCTCTACTCCCAAGACACACAGGAAGTTTCCACTCGGTCCACTCTCTGCACGTGGCCTCCGGCACGCGACTCTCTCTGCGTAACCCTGTAACCCGCCAGGTTTCAGGAAACGTGGGTGCCTTTCTCCCAGCGCTGCCCATCGCCGCTCTCGCCGCTGTCGCTGCCGGGGCACGCGGCACTCCCACGCACCGCCGCTTATTTGAAGGGAGAGCTCTCGTCCCCCCCGCCACCCGCGGAGCCACGGGGCAGGAGGCGTGCTCACGTTCTTTTCGTAACCCTCGAAGTATCCGGCAAAGTGTTAGGCACAGAAATACTTAACAGTTTCTAAAGTATGAATGGCTTTTATTTTTGCTTTTTGGTATAACTACATTTGTATTTTTATTTTCTGTTTGGAGTACCAATACCCTAAGATTATAAACTCATTGAGAAACAGATAGTAACTGTATTTCTTCTAACAGTATTAAATATTTAAATTAAAAAAAAAAAAAAGAATGCGGTCACGGGTTTCGAATGCGACAGGCACAAATTACTTCTTTTCCGGAAGTACTAAGATCATTCCCTATATACTGTTATAGTTTCCAAAGTACCATCTAAGCTTATGGATGAACCATCCTATCTTCTTGCATTTTCAAATAAAGGCCATTAAATAAACATCTTTTTGTTCAATGTATACACTGAATGAAGCAAATGTGAAAATCATTTGGAAAAAATGTAAAATAGTGAAAGTTTTTTTCTTTTGCCAAAACAGTAAGATGCCAAAAAGCTGATATAAATGGCAGGAACAAACACACATAACTATAAATGAGAGGAGGAAAGCTAAGCATAGAATTGTGAGCACATGTACGTACATACTTACTGACCCCACAGTGAAAAACAAAGATGAGGAGGAATTTGGAAGAGTATTTTCTTCCATTCGAATTGTTCATTTCATAAAAGTAAAATATTAATTACAAAGAAAACAAAAGAAAGCTCAGATCTACATACACTTTTTAAAATGCCCATAACTAAAACACTCCATACCTGTAAACATGGCGTGAAAGTAGGGACTGCAGGCGGCCAGCACCACCCTGTGTGCAGAGATCTCCATGTCTTCCGCCACAATTGTGACATCACACAGCAAATTTTGACTGTTTACAAAGCAGAGAGAAAAACATTTAAATAATTCCAATAATAAACATATTAAACATCTATGCAAAAATATGACAGTAAAGCCCACTTTTCTGAAGTTGAGACAAACTTAAAGGATGGCCACCCTTTAGGACAGGATGCCTACACGAGAAGTCCACGGAAAACAGCCGTGATGCCTCACAGGCCTCGAGCCCTCACTCAGAATCCTGCCTTTGTTTAACACAGAAGTCTTCCCAAACTTGATTACTGATTTCTCAGCCCCAAGGAAGTCGCTGGCAGCAAACCACCAACTGGAAGAGTAGAGGTTGTCTGAGTAAGCAGTGTGTCAGCAGAGTTAAAGAAAAAACCACATGGAGAAAACTAAATTGAGTCAAATCCCTCCCCCCAAAAATAAAAAAGATATTTAAAATGACCCTGGGTCATCAAGCAATAGTAAAATTATACTCAATTACACCTACTGCTTAAAAGGCATTTGAGCATTTGAAGTTTAACTTAATCAGAACATTTCGCTAATGCAAAATATCTCATCCCCAAAGCCAGAAAATATTACCACATCTAAAATTAAAAAGCATCTTGTTACCTTAAAACAAACCATCATTCAGCCACCATGATTACACCTCCGATTCTGAAACACCCATAAAATCACCCAGGAACACTGGCCAGCACCGTTCACCTGCCACTCCTGGTGCCAGATCACTCTCCAGGCCATTACGAATAACGTCACAGAACAGCTTTTTAGCAAAAGCGTTTGCTGATGCTTATTCCAAAACAAGCAAGAAGGGCTCCAAAGCCTAAACCCGCCTTGCCAGCAGCCCCGTCAGGAATGGCTAAAAGGGTTGTGGTGAAAGCACGTCAGATATCGAGCACGGAATTTACACGCATGGTCCACACGGGCACGCACGGCCCCCTCCTCCCTGCGCCGCCGACTTCCTGCAGGGGCGGCCTGCCTGCTTCTGTCAGTTTCCAATCGCTTACGAGCAACACCTTCCCATGAGCTTAATCAAGTCCTTGAAGTTTTCCACTTGTCCATCCTGTTTACAAACCCGCAAGGTTCACACCAGAATTCTCTGGAGAGCCCACTGGTGTCTCCTCTCCTTTCGGCTGAGGAGAAACGGGAAGAAAAAGGAGAACTGCAGCGAGGATGACGATGGCACTCCAGGGCCCCTCGCTGATGAGCTCGCAGACGTGCAGCTCGCGGGTGTGTCTGTTCACGGCTCCCGACGCTAGTGAGACCTCGGGCAGGTCTCAGAATCATGAAAGGTGGCAGATCCCTCCAGATCAGGGTGGAGAACTCACAAAGTCGCCTGTCTGCTCTGAGAATGTGGAACCACGCTGCAACTCCCTGAGTTCCACGGGCTCACAAACCGCCAGGGTGGGAAAAGCCGGCGGTGTGGTCAGCAAGGTACTGCTATGCACGAGCTTTGCCTCAGGGATTGCTTCATTCAGTCTCCACCACAGTGCTCTGAGGTAGGTATTATTTTTGTCCCCAAACGCACAGCTGGGGAAACCAAGGTTAAAGAGAACGACCAGTGGCAATGCCAGGAGTCAAATCCAGAGCCCGACTCCAGGGCCTCCCGACCACCACACAGAACCCACCTCAAGCTGTGTGGTTTTAAGATTTGTTAAAGCTCGAATAAAACAGATAAATTATAAATCACAATGATTTATTTTGGACATACTATACACTAGAAACTACTTTTTAAGTTCTATATATAGCTGGACCCCATTTTAGTGAGTTTTTGGCACTACCGATACAGAATATTTTCTAAAAATCAAAGGAAGTTTATTCACTCATTCAACAAAGCGCTGCAAGACCGCGTCTGCCCTTAAGAAGACGAGCAGAAAGGCCGCGCAACGCCGTGATCACAGGACACAGTGCAAAGCGCCACAGCAGAGACACCATGGGAAGGGGGCATCCACATCAGACTGGGGATCAGAAAGGCGTCCTGCAGCTACCGACCGCAAGCTGAGTTCTAAAAACAAGTGAGAGTTAGCTGGAGGAGAAGGAACAAGAGAATCCCAAACAGAACGGTACGTGCTGTTGCATGGAGACCTGAATGAACCGGCCAAGTCCAGCAGGGAACTGGGGGCCACGAAGCGTGGGGAGGGTCGTGGGCGAGGGCAAGGGGGAAGCAGGCAGAGCGCCCGGCTCTCTACGACGCGGCCTTCCATCCAGGTTTCTCTGCCGTGCCCAGTGGATCCGGACACAACTCGAACCTGAGTCGAGTGCATCTTTGTGCCTGTCTTCCCCTTGTCATTAATCCTGCCTAGTCTCGAGATGGACCTGAAGTGGAATTACACTTGAACATCTCAAAATCACATAATTAATTACAATTAGTCATCGATCCAAACCTTCTAGCATAATACCCGCTGGCTGTCACTTACATAATTAGCTCAGCCTTACTGGCTTACCTGTTGGTGTGATTTAACCAGTAAGGCTAAAACGCTGCCAAAATGTGATGCAGCCACACCCTGGGTCAGGTCACAGGGAATCTAAAGGACACATTACAAATCAAGGACATATTAGTTTTAGTGTTCAGTGTTTCATCTTTTTGTCTCCAACAATAACATATTTTAAAACAATTCACAGACAAGAGAGATCTGTCTTCTTACTGCGCGTGTCCTGAGCATACAGTGTGCGTATGTGTACACACACTGGTTGGTGTGCATGTGTTGGATCTGGCCCTTACCGCTTTCCAAATGTGCACGCTTACAAGAAGGTGAATGACTGATGGGTGAGAAGCAGAGAGCTACCAATGAAATGTCTGGCAATGAAACTTGGTTTAGCAGCTCATATCCAAAGTCTTACACATTGAACTTCTGAGTTTATGTTCCTATTATCTGAAATCTAATGAGGGAATGAACAGTAGGGAGAAAAAGGCCTTAAAATAATGGAGTATTAATAAAGTAGTTATGTGGCGAAATTTGCACGTGTTCATTCATCCATCAGATACCCAGGGAGTGTGTACCGGGTGCCCAGCACCATGTCGGCTCAGACAGTGAGCAGGACGACGTGGTTTACAGTCGAGCAAGGGAGACGAGACACAGGCGATTGTAAAATGAACCCACAAATACTAAGATGGGGCAAGTGCGGGCGGTTGGGAACACACAGAAAGGCCAAGCCTAACCTCACGGAAAAGCTTCAGAGGGGAGTGGCTTCTAAGCCCAAATCTAAAGAGAGAAAGAAGAACGGGAGTCGGGCCTTATGTAAAACTCAAACGGCACAGGAAAAGGAAAGGCACGCCGTGTCCTGAGGGAAACAGTACCATGGAACTGGTCCTTCTTAGGGAAAACACTGCTTCGAAAATAAATGAAACGTTCCTGAACATTACAACACAACCTTGGATTTTCTGATATGAAATGAGTGAATTCCTAAGACTAGAAAAACTTACCAGTGCTCTTAAAATAGACGGTGTATATCTTCTTAAAAGTAAAATGTGCCATCAGGCTCTGAGATAGCAAAGGTAATTAGTGAACACATGAAACAAGAATTCACTGTGCACTGGAAGTGGGGCGGCGGGGAGATCACAGGGCACCTGTCTACCTTTCTTCCTTGGGTGCCAGGAAAGTCTGGAGGCACCTGCTGGCCTGGGGAACACAACTAACTGGACGGCAGCGCAGGGCCCAGCTGGCGAGACGAGCCGCTGGCCAGGGCCCGTGGGCAAACGTGAACTGGAGCGTAGGAGTGCGTCCAGAATCGGTACCAGGGGACAACACCAGGCACTGGGACAAAGAAACAGGCGCAACGTAACGGAAAGGAGGTGGGACGTCAGGGGCGGAAGACATTAGCACTGGCCTTGAGCAGCCACTGAGAGTTGGCCACTTGGCACCCAGGAAGGGTGGGGTGGGGAAACTGCTGATTTAAATCAGTCATACTTAACCAAACCGCCTGTAACTGACAGTGCCATTTAACAGACGAGGCAGACACATCCTGGCTAAAACGCAGCAACCTCAAAGAGCAACAGGACCACATGACAAGGGGCCACTGTCTTCCTTTTCTCCTTAAAACCATCACGCCAGGTAGCACGTCTGTGTTTCTGCAGCGGTTAAGCACAAGGAAAGGGTATCCCGGGTTCAAGGAGACTCACCCCCACAGTAAGTCCTGAAGGCCACACGGCCCCTCAGCACATTCACACCTGCCGGGGTTTTCAAACCAAAGCAAGCAGAGGCCACAGGCAACTCAGAGAGTCACAGGAAAACCTATTTCGGTCAATGATTTAGAACTGATTCAAACTAGTAAAGGGTCCCAGAATAGACAACCTGTCATTCTTTTCAAACAGAAGCAAGACAGCAGAGTGCGGAAGGTGACAAAGCAGAGACCTGGGGAGGATGCCACTGAGCCCACAGGGCGGGGAGTGTCCAGATACGGGGACTCGTGGGAACACCTGGCCGCAGCTGAGAGAAGGAGAAGACAAAAACAGAGAGAAAGTGAGAGAAGATGTTAAGGACAGAGAGAAGGTGGGGGGGGAGGGCAACGCGGAGAGACGAGGGGGTCAAGGGTTTCGGAGGGGAAACCAAGGCAGAGCGCAGGTTTGGGCGTACAGGTGAGAAGCTGGATGACACAGCACGTACAAAGGAAACCTCCTCATTAAAAGGTTTTGTGGAAAACTTCGTGAAATCAATCATGAGTCGATAACTCTAACCATCTAAAACAGCCAAGCCAGACCTGATTCTGACTTGAGGGCCAGTGAGGGCCCACCCTGGCCGGACCGAGGGGCGAAGAGGAGAAGGCTGTTCAGTAAATTCACTTGCTGCTCCCGCTCCTCGCACCCTGGGGAGCGTCGAAGGGTTCTACCCACGCTCAACAAACACCACTTAAAAAGGTACCAATCACAAATACTGAAAAACCACTATAGAATATTATCAGTTACATTGAGACTTTTGGCTCCAAAATGTTTCTTAAACTTTCCGAAATGAACAAGTCTGCTTCACCTGAGGGCTCTTCCCAACCGCTCTTTCCTTCAGGAGAGTCTTACATTCTCCGTTAGCACAACACGAA